CTTTTCAAATTGGAGTTATCTGGATTTACACTGGAAGATGATTGAACTTTGAATGTCGAAAATGACTTAAAATGTGTGCTGTACTCTTAGAAAGCCTTTTTTTTTTTGCCTAAATACTGGTTTGTACGTATGGTACTATACCAGTAATGATTTGAGCAGCCAACAAAACATTGTGTACCTAAAATAAAATGTCACCTTTTCATTCATATTTAGATATTTAAATAATCTCTACAAAAAAAACATTTTTCTTAGAATTCCTTGTTTGACCTTCTGTTTGAAAAAGGAATTTCTAGAGTGTGTTAAGAGTAGTTCACTTATATTTACATAACTGATGATTTACTTACCCACCGGCCATCCAGGATATACATAAGAACAAAAATGATTTTTTTTTAGGAAGGTTAAGGTTGAAGATTTAAGGTTGATTAAGATGATCTGATGAAGAAAGCAGGTTTAGTACATCTTGAATAGAGTAAAACATTTCTACATTTAAGTTTTCCTACAGGAAGTTTTGTTTTGTGCATCTGAGATTGTAAAAAGCTGTATGTTTATGCTTTCCAGGCATTTGGTTCATGATTAATCCATTCTGTTAATAGAATGGTGTGTGGTCTTGTTCAGGTTATTGAATGTGTTGCTTTCTGGTAAGATTGTAATCATTCAAAATGTTTGCTCTGCAAATTGAAGCCAACATGTAGTTTTACTGCTGTTTTAAGGAGAAGAATATGGTTGTCCAAAGCATGTATTTAGCATTTGTTTGTGGCATTAAAATAAAAAGTGTATTTGCTTTTCATACCACTTCTGGGTGTTCTTGTTAAATTCACAATTTCTTTTACTCATGTACTTTTTTTCTGGCAACCATAGCTGCCGGTTTTTAACCGTAAATTTTACAGTTCACTTAAATATACCGTAAACAGAACAACATTTAGACCGTATTTTTTACGGCAGGTTTCTGGCAACCACAGCTGCCGGTTTTTAACCGTAAATTTTATGGTTCACTTAAATATACCGTAAACAGAACAACATTTAGACCGTATTTTTTACGGTAGGTTTCCGGCAACCACAGCTGCCGGTTTTTAACCGTAAATTTTATGGTTCACTTTTAAATATACCGTAAACAGAAAAACATTTCGACCGTATTTTTTACGGTAGATTTCCGGCAACCACAGCTGCCAGTTTTTTACCGTAAATTTTACGGGATTTTTTTTACAGTGTACACAAGCAGCGACCCTACCAAATTTCATTTGAAATAGCTTCACAGAAGCGCTACTTTTAAAATAGTTCAGCGTTTCGAGTAGCGAGCTAACCAAGTAGAGGCTAATTTTTAATTTGAATAAACCATAGACTGTATGGGAATAAACTAGTGATGCCATTTTCCCCCAATGAAATGAAAAGGTAAGCAACACGGTCCAAATCTGTTCTAGACTCGGTTCTGAATCATTCAGTCTAGAGTCGTTTGGAGGGGTTTGGAGATGCTTCATAAGGTAAAGAACAATATAAGAACGCTGGATGAAGAGGAATATTTGCTCACAATCCACTGAAAACAGTTGTAGAATATATGATGTCGTTTAAAAGTGATGAATATTTTTCAAGGTAACACTGAACAACTCTGTACGGCCTACAGCCGGTAAAGACGTTACAATAAAGCACTAATGTGGGGTTTTGTTTCATGTTCATGTTTTCATGTCTTTTATTTTGTAATTGTTTCACCCTGTTAGTGTCATGCTTCCCTTGCCCTCATGTATCTCTGCCTTGTGTATGTGTCATGTTCTGATTGGTTGTCCTAGTCATGTGTCTTGTTTCCCATTGGTTTGTTCTTGTCATGTGACCCTCTTGTTTGCTATAAGTAACCATCATGTTGCCATTGTCTCTTGTCGTGTATTGATATCGGTGTCGTGTACCCGCTATCGGTGAGTCTAGTCTGTTCATGCCTCGTCAAGTCTGTTCATGTCAAGTCACGGATTATTGTTTGGATCACACTGTAAATAAACTGCACTTGGGTTCTCACTTCAACTCGCCTTCAGTGGACCGATTCGTTACAAGCACTTAACCATAGTATAGCAAAACCTTGGGCATGTACTTTGGGCAACGTGTTTTTTCAGTATGTCCCATATTATTCAAACAACTATACTACAATGCAAATACTATGTGGCTATCAAAGTTCAAGGGACAATATGTTATTGAAAATAAAACATTTGGTATGTTTTTCAGAAGACATGTGTTTTCTAGATGTAAGTCACCCAGCACTTGTCAGAGTATCCCTGGTAATACAGGACAAAATAATAAATCACCTGTTTTTCTAATTATAGATCATATATGTGCAGAGACGTTTGTTGTTGAGAAACAATTGCACATTCAAATGTATTTAAAAAAAATTGAATAATTAAAGAATAGCCATTTCAAATTCTAAATAATTTGTTGCTTGGAACGCTTCCGTTTTAAAGTATCTTCCCCAACAACACTGGTGCCAGAGTAAGTTTCTCACAGATCCTGTTTAGAGACTCAAACATATCTGACAATGATGCATTTGTCGAAACACCACAAAAATAAAGCTGCCATATGTTTTAGATGTTTCATTTGATTTTAATTGGGTATTAATGTAAAATAATGATATAAATACATAATCAGACGCCATGCTGTGCATACGCAGTCAGTGCTGCTGTGACAAACAAAGCTTAGCATTTGTTGATATTTAATGGAGAACAACAGCCTGGATCAGAGGTCACCAATTAGCATCACTGTAGCGCCATTTTGGAGAATATCCGCTGAACGCAAGCAGCGTACGCTCTTCTGTGTCAGCCGCGCTGCACGGATGCGCTGTTTTCATTCAAATCAAAGCGTAAATACACGTAAAAAACGTATCCTTGTGTCGCGGCTGAGCTGACACAGAATATGAAAATGGCGCTACGGTGATGCAGAGAGACACAGAGACGAATTGTTGAATAAAGTTATTTTTGTTTTCTTCACGTACAAAAAGTATGCTCGTCGCTTCATAACGTTACGGTTGAACCACTGATGGCAGATGGACTATTCTGACGATGTCGTTCATACTTTTCTGGACCTTGACAGTGTAATTTACTTGGCAGTCAATGGGACAATCACAAGCCTTCCTGTTTTCATCCAAAATATCTTAAATTGTGTTCCGAAGACGAACTAAGCTTTTACGGGTTTGGAACGACATGGGGTAAGTGATTAATGACAAAATTTTCATTTTGGGGTGGAGTATCCCTTTAACTTTTAGTCTGCTTGTTACGGTCAAAAAAAAATTAATAGTCAAATTACTATATGCAATAGCCTATATGAGATAGCCTATGATCACTAGATTTTATACAGGTGTTACAATAACGATTTTGTAAATGGTGATCAGCAACCAAATATTGATAATGTGGAAGTTACTGCCTTTTGCCTTGGTGTGACTTCTCACGTTTTTCAGACAATGCAAAGGCAGAGTACATTAACTTCAGCTTTTCAGCAGTTTGAGCTCACAATTTTTTAATGTAGATAATTTTCATTACTAAAACATCTAATTGTTACATTTTCAGTGTCGTACCTATAATTAATTTGGCTGGACAAGTAAAAAACTTTAAAGTCATTTTTCTCAGTTTCATACTCTAGCGAGTTAAGGTCTTTTGCCTTTGTAGGGCAGTATTGATCCCCTAAGGATTTTTTTTCCGACTATCCGGGGCTTTCGGGGGGCCTTAACATGCTCAAAAACTCTTGAAAATTGGCACACACGTTGGAATCTGTGGTCATTAGGACGCAGCAGAGGCTGGGACCCGGGCGTGGCACAGGGGCTCTACGGCACCCCTTGGAACACAGTCACAATTCTTGATGTATAGCTCACACATACTTGCATGCATTCATATGAAACTCGGTATACATATAGATCTCATTGAGCTGAACAGCTTTCGCACTGCATGTCATAGGCTCTGCCCAACAGGAAGTTGGCTATTCAGGGCTGTGTAAAAAGTGAATGCCCTGGAATTTGATATACTCCTCCTAGGATTTCCCATCGATGGCCACCAAACTCGGTCAGCATGACCTCAAGACAATTTGGGGATGCTAAATTGCGAAGGAATTTTTGATATCTCAGACGGTTTGGCTAATTTACTTTCTAATTTACAGTCATTAGCTACGACCAACAGGAAGTCGGCTATTTTGATTTGAATGTGGATTTTTGGAAAAATATGGCTGTGAATTAATGCATACTAGTCATATGAAAATCATTGAATTTACATCAAACTTTGTCAACATGATTGCTAAACATTTAGGAACTTAAATTGCGAACCGATTTTGGATATCTTGAAAGGTGTTGCCATGGCAATTTATTAAAGTAAGAGTAAAAAAGGAAACAGTAATTTTCTTATATTTTTAAAGTGCATTATCCAAACTCTTCAAAACTTGTAATATATGAAAAACAAGTCATTCTGAGGAAGCATGCTTATTTTCATGAATTTACAATGTTTTATTGATAACAGAAAATTAAAAAAACTATTAGACATCTGATCTCATTCTAAGGGGCCGTTTACACGACAACGTTTTCAGCCAAAAATGGGAAACTTTTTATGCGTTTTGTCTGTTTGTTTACACGACAACTGCGTTTTAGGGACTGAAAACGAATATTTTTG